GTAATGTGTGTAATGTGTGTGTGTAAATGTATGTGTAAATGTGTGTGTGTAAATGTGTGTGTGTAAATGTATGTGTAAATGTGTGTGTGTAAATGTAAATGTGTGTAAATGTGTGTGTAAATGTGTGTAAATGTGTGTGTAAATGTGTGTAAATGTGTGTGTAAATGTGTGTGTAAATGTATGTGTGTAAAATGTGTGTGTGTGTAAATGTAAATGTGTAAATGTGTGTGTAAATGTGTGTGTAAATGTGTGTAAATGTGTGTGTAAATGTGTGTTAAATGTGTGTGTAAATGTGTGTAAATAAAAGTGTGTAAGTGTGTGTGTAAATGTGTGTGTAAATACGTGTGTAAATGTGTGTAAATGTGTGTGTAAATGTGTGTGTAAATGTGTGTAAATGTGTGTGTAAATGTGTGTGTAAATGTGTGTAAATGTGTGTGTAAATGTGTGTAAATGTGTGTGTGTAAATGTGTGTAAATGTGTGTGAAAAAGTGTGTGTAAATGTGTGTGTAAATGTGTGTGTAAATGTGTGTGTAAAATGTGTGTAAATGTGTGTGTAAATGTGTGTATAAATGTGTGTAAATGTGTGTGTAAATGTGTGTAAATGTGTGTGTAAATGTGTGTGTGTAAATGTGTGTGTGTGTAAATGTGTGTGTAAAATGTGTGTGTGTGTGTGTAAATGTGTGTGTAAATGTGTGTGTAAATGTGTGTGTAAATGTGTGTGTGTGTGTGTGTAAATGTGTGTGTAAATGTGTGTGTAAATGTGTGTAAATGTGTGTGTAAATGTGTGTAAAATGTGTGTGTGTAAATGTGTGTAAATGTGTGTAAATGTGTGTGTAAATGTGTGTAAATGTGTGTGTAAATGTGTGTGTAAATGTGTAAAATGTGTGTGTAAATGTGTGTGTGTGTAAATGTGTGTGTAAATGTGTGTAAATGTGTGTAAATGTGTGTAAATGTGTGTAAATGTGTGTGTGTAAATGTGTGTAAATGTGTGTGTAAATGTGTGTGTAAATGTGTGTGTAAATGTGTGTGTAAATGTGTGTGTAAATGTGTGTAAATGTGTGTGTAAATGTGTGTGTAAATGTGTGTAAATGTGTGTGTAAATGTGTGTAAATGTGTGTGTAAATGTGTGTGTAAATGTGTGTATAAAATGTGTGTAAGTGTGTGTGTAAATGTGTGTGTAAATGTGTGTAAATGTGTGTAAATGTGTGTGTGTAAATGTGTGTGTAAATGTGTGTGTGTGTGTGTAAATGTGTGTGTGTAAATGTGTGTAAGTGTGTGTGTGTGTGTAAATGTGTGTAAATGTGTGTAAATAAATGTGTGTGTAAATGTGTGTGTAAATGTGTGTGTAAATGTGTGTAAATGTGTGTAAATGTGTGTAAATGTGTGTAAATGTGTGTGTAAATGTGTGTAAATGTGTGTAAATGTGTGTGTAAATGTGTGTGTGTAAATGTGTGTAAATGTGTGTGTAAATGTGTGTGTAAATGTGTGTAAATGTGTGTAAATGTGTGTGTAAATGTGTGTGTAAATGTGTGTGTAAATGTGTGTGTAAATGTGTGTAAATGTGTGTGTGTGTGTAAATGTGTGTAAATGTGTGTGTAAATGTGTGTATAAATGTGTGTGTAAATGTGTGTGTGTGTGTAAATGTGTGTAAATGTGTGTGTAAATGTGTGTGTGTGTAAATGTGTGTGTAAATGTGTGTAAATGTAAATGTGTGTGTAATGTGTGTAAATGTGTGTAAATGTGTGTGTAAATGTGTGTAAAATGTGTGTGTGTGTGTAAATGTGTGTGTAAATGTGTGTGTGTAAATGTGTGTAAATGTGTGTGTGTAAATGTGTGTAAATGTGTGTGTAAATGTGTGTGTGTGTAAATGTGTGTGTAAATGTGTGTAAATGTGTGTGTGTAAATGTGTGTAAATGTGTGTGTGTAAATGTGTGTGTAAATGTGTGTAAATGTGTGTGTAAATGTGTGTGTAAATGTGTGTAAATGTGTGTAAATGTGTGTAAATGTGTGTAAATGTAAATGTGTGTAAATGTGTGTGTAAATGTGTGTGTGTGTAAATGTGTGTAAATGTGTGTAAATGTGTGTAAATGTGTGTGTAAATGTGTGTAAATGTGTGTGTAAATGTGTGTGTAAATGTGTGTGTAAATGTGTGTGTAAATGTGTGTGTAAATGTGTGTGTAAATGTGTGTAAATGTGTGTAAATGTGTGTGTAAATGTGTGTCGTTTTCTCCAGCAGCTTCATAAATCTGCCCCATCACCAAATCTTCAACCAACAAACTCCAAATAAAGAATTTAACCACAACTATCAAGAGAAGAAAGACGAAAAACAACGACGACGCTTTAGTGACACTGAACAAAACTAATGTTATGGTCCTAGAGATGTCTCGCATTCAAACTGCACAAATTTGACTACGTTTATACTGAAATGATTCCGCGTGTCACCGTATCAGAAACGATCTGTGTCCAGCCACGTCGTTTCTGTGTCTGCACTCCTTCTCTATCCACACAGCTTTGAGCACATTTGTTTACGTTTTACAGAAACAAAACTTAAAACCACATGACTCATTTGCATAAACTGAGCGTTTAAAACAGGGGTGTCAAACTCATTTTGGCCCGGGGGTCGTATCCAGCCTAGTTTGATCCTAAAGGGGCCGGATCACAAAATTTATGGCATATAAACCCCAAAAATAACAATAAGTTCAAATATTTGTGCAGAGAAATGCAAATCTATTACAGAAATCTTTTTAAATTGATGAACTCTTTCTTTTACAAAATATAATATTATGAAAAAAATGCTATTTCAGCACAGTGTTTTAACATTAACTTTTGTGCAAATAGGAATAAGTCAAGTTTTGTTGTAAAATCCTGCACTCGGCTCCACTTTTCTCATGTTGGACATTTTTCTGATGAGGGTGTCACGGTCAACAGTCAAAACGATCGTCCTTTAAGAGCGTTTGGAAAGAGACAAGTCTTCATTTGTGCTGCTCTGGTGGGAGGGGCCACGTACAGAGACGCTGGAGACGCTGCTGTGATAAACACCACAGAAAATTAACACGATTTTAATAGAAAATATCATTACAATATTTGAGTAGAAAGCCGGATCTGGCCCCCGGGCCGTATGTTTGACACCTGTGGATTAAAAAAAACAGCTCTTTCCTTGTGCGCTGATGTGGTTCAGGTTCTGTCGGACTAAAGGACACGACTCAGTGGAATATGAGTGTTCTCTCTGTGACAGAGGGATGTTCTGCTGATGGTGAGTCTGTTCTGTGTTTCTGTCATGTTGTTGGTTCATGTTAAACTTTTCAGAGATTATACGTCTGCAGGTCGTACACACAGACACACGTTTATATTAAGATATTTCAGCCTCTTAGTGTTTTTGCGGTGAATTACTTCTCGGTTTCACAGACCTACATCAGAGTATCAGTGTTTTCAGGCGTCCACACGGTGCAGGATCAGATCTGGACTCAGATGAGTTCGTGGGAGGCACCAGATCGTTCCGTCTCTGGAGCCGTTTTCATTCAGATTAGTGTGAACGAACATTGGACCCACAACCAAAACGACTCCATTACGCACTACGGGCCTTTATCAATTTATGCCAATATCATGAAATTGATTTTTGATTTTAATTGTAGAATCAGTCTGAGTGAACAAGTTCCTTCTGTTTTATTCATGACCTTAACAGTTTTGTTCAGTGAGTCACTAAAGCGTCGTCGTTGTTTTTCGTCTTTCTTCTCTTGATAGTTGTGGTTAAATTCTTTATTTGGAGTTTGTTGGTTGAAGATTTGGTGATGGAGCAGATTTATGAAGCTGCTGGAGAAAACGACACACATTTACACACACATTTACACACACATTTACACACATTTACACACACATTTACACACACATTTTACCACAGAAAACCTTTAACCGGAAGTTCCACAAACCTACAGTGTGAAAAAGGTCTGTTAGTCTCTGGGTACAGCTCCAGGTTTGTTGAGGAAACCACATTTTATAAAATCAGATAATGATTTTAAATGAAATTAAATGAATATTGTGATTTAACATGTACAAACTAGAACATAATGCTCCCAGATTTCACAACATGTCCTCTGTAAATTGTGTATACGTGTGTGTGTGTGTGTGTGTGTGTGTGTGTGTGTCTGTGTGTGTGTGTGTCTGTGTGTGTGTGTGTGTGTGTGTCTGTGTGTGTGTGTGTGTGTGTGTGTGTGTGTGTCTGTGTGTGTGTGTGTGTGTAAGTGTGTGTGTGTGTGTGCACAGTGCAGATCGAGTGAAGGATTCCGAGAAGAGCTAAATCCAGAGAGATCGAATGTGTCCACAGAGAAACGGTGAAAAAACACCACAGGAGGGAAAGAGAGAAAGAGAAAGAAAAAGAGGAGAGAGGAAGACGGGAAAGTAAAGAGGAATGAAAGGAGTGGGGGGGGTATTTTGTGCAGTATTGTGAGTAGTACCTGTAGTATTATGTGTTGTAGTTTTTGCTGTACTGTGTGTAGTCGTGTGTGTAGTACTTTGTGTAGTACCTGTAGTAGTGTGTATAGTACTTTTTTGCAATACTGTGTAGTATTGTGTGTACTACTGTGTGTAGTATTGTGTGTCGTAGCTGTAGTACTGTGTGTAGTAGTCTTCACAGTACTTTTGTGTGTAGTACCTGTAGTATTTGGCAGCAGTCAGAGGAGTAGTAGATGTTCTCACAGGGCTGGTACATGTATTGTAGTATTGTGTGTAGTACTTTGTGTGTAGTAGCTGTAGAATTGTGTGTAGTATTGTGTAGTAGTTTTTGCACTACTGTGTGTAGTTCCTGCAGTACTGTGTGTAGTACTTGTGTGTGTAGTACCTGTAGTATCTGGCAGCGGTCGGAGGAACAGTCGATGTTCTCACACGGCCGGTACACGTATTGTTGTATTTTGCGTAGTACTGTGTGTAGTATTGCGTATAGTATCTGTAGTAGTTTGTGTGTGGTACTTTTTGCAGTAGTGTGTGCAGTACTTTGTGTGTAGTACCTGTAGTATCTGGCAGCGGTCGGAGGAGCAGTCGATGTTCTCACACGGCTGGTACATTCCCAGAGTGACACAGTTGAGGAGGATCACCATCATACTGACGCGCTCGAACCAAGTACACGCAGTTAAGGTACTTTTACTTCAACATGATACACAAATACTGCATTTAAAACAGTCACTAAGGTACTTTTACTTCAACATGACACACAAACACATAAAACATACTTTTACTTCAACATGATACACAAATACTGCATTTAAAACACTCACTAAGGTACTTTTACTTCAACTTGTTACACAAATACTGCATTTTCAACACACAGTTAAGGTACTTTTACTTCAACTTGACACACAAATACTGCATTTAAAACACACACTAAGGTACTTTTACTTCAAATTGACGCACAAATACTGCATTTTTCAAAACACACTAATGTAATGTAAAAATGTTGTTTTGTAAAAAATAAATTCTCACTAAGTAAATGTAAAATTTCTAAAATAAATAAATAAATAAACAAAAAAATTCTCTGTAAAATTCAATAAAAATCTTAAATTTCTGTGAAGATTCTTGTTCTGTAAAAAATTGTTCCTTAAAAAAAAAAAAAAGAAAGAAAAACAAACAAAGAAGAAAAAAAAGTTAAATTGTTATGTAAAAAAAGATTAATAATGTTAATAATCGGTAAAAAATTATTGCTTAAAAATTATAATAATATTCTGTAAAAAAATCTTGTTAAATAAATATAAAAATTCTGTAAAAATTGTTCTATAAAAAACAAAAAACAATGATAACAGCACAGAAGAAAAAAGTTACAATCTTTTGTAAAGAAGTAAAAGACATTGTTACTTAAAAAAAAAAGTATTGTTTTGAAATGGTCTGTAAAAATTCTGTCTTGATAAATAAATGTAAAATTATGTAAAAATGTTCGTTCTTTAAAAAAAATTGCTCTGTAGAATTCTGGAAAAAATCTTGTTCTGTAAAAATGTATTATTGTTTGTATTATTGTTAAATACATGTAAAAAATTATGTAAAAATATTTGTTCTTTAAAAAAAAAAAAAATGTAAAAATGGTTCTGTAAAAAAAAAAAAAAAAAAAAAAAAAAAAGCAGAATACCCGGTTGTCTTTAAAAAACCAAAACTCTGACATCACCGCAGAAGAAAAGTTACACTGTTCTGTTCTGTGAGTTTTATTTAATTTTTTTTTTTTACATTTTCTTTGTGGTTTCTGGCGTCAGTTTGTGGACAGGAAATCCTGAGTTTGTGAGTAAACGGTTCACAGATGCTTCTTTATCACATTCTAAAGTTATTTAAAACCTCCACACATATGGACGCGGATAAACTCAGATCTGACTTTGAAAAATGGAGGATGAGGAGAAGATAACGAAGATCAAACCAGGAAATACACAAATGTAACTCTTCTGTACATAAACCAGAGGAAATAATGTCGACAAGTAAATTAAAGAAGATCTGAAGTGTTCGTGTTTGTCTGAGACTTTTTAATTCACAATAATCATCTAAAACGACTTCATAAAAGAAACAAAACTGTGACTTCTGCTTTAGAAAACTGACAAACTGTGACATCAGCCCCTCTGACCAACACACACACACACACACACACACACACACACACACACACACACACACACACACACACACGCACGCAACACACACACACACACACTTTCACACAAGAGGAGCAGAGGATGAAGAGGAAGAGAAGAGGGTCAGAGAAGAAAAGGGGAAGCAGAGGAGAAGAGGAACAGGAGAAAAGGAGAGGGTCAGAGGATGAAGAGGAGGAGAGGATCAGATGAAGAGAGGGTCAGAGGATGAAGAAGAGCAGATTAAGAGAGGAGAGGGTCAGAGGAGGAAAAGGAAGAGAGGGTCAGAGGAACAGATAAGAAGAAGAGGAGAGGAACAGAGAAGCAGAGGGTCAGAGGAGAAAAAGGAGAGGAGGAGAGGAGGAGAGGAGAGGGTCAGAGGACCAGAGGGAGGAGAGAAGAGAGAGAGAGAGAAGAGAAGAGGAGGAGAAGAGAGGGTCAGAGGACCAGAGGAGCAGAGGAGAAGGTCAGGAGAAGAGGAAAAGAGGAGGAGAGGGTCAGAGGAGGAGAGGAAAAGAGAAGAAAGGGTCAGAGGAGAAGACGAGAGGGTCAGAGGAGGAATGGAGAGGAGCAGAGGAAGGGAGGAGGGGGTCAGAGGAGGAGAGGAAGAGAGGAGTGGAGGGGGCGAGGAAGAGAAGAGAGGGTCAGAAGATGAAGAGGAAGAGAGGAGGGGGTCAGAGGAGGAGCAGAGGAGAAGAGGAGGAGGAGAAAAGGTGAGGATGAAGAAGAGAAGGTCAGAGGAAGAGAGGAGAGGGTCAGATGAAAAGAGGAAGAGGTTCAGAAGAGCAGAGGAGAGGGTCAGAGGAGAAGAAAAGGAAGAGAGGAGAGGGTGAGGGAACAGAGGAAGAGAGGAGAAGAGGAAAGGGTCACAGGAGCAGATGAAGAGAAGGTCAGAGGAGAAGAGGAGAGGAGGAGACAAGAGGGTCAGAGGATGAAAAGGAGCAGAGGAGGAGAGGAGGAGAGGAACAGGAGAAAAGGAGGGGGTCAGAGAAGGAAAGGAAGAGAGGAGAGGAGCAGACGAGAGGGTCAGAGGTAGAGAGGAGAGGGTGAGGGAACAGAGGAAGAGAAGGTCAGAGGAGAAAAGGAAAGGAGGAGAGGAGCAGAGGATGAAGAGGAAGAGAGGAGAGGGTCAGAGGAGAGGAGGAGAGGAAGAGAGGAGGAGAGGAGGAGAAGGTCTGGAGGCTAAACCCGACGTCTCTCTCTCTCTCTCTCGTCCTCTGTCCTCGTCGAGAGCCTCACTGGGAACATTTATTTCATTTGATGGTGTTGCCGTGGAAACCGGGGGTCGCCTGCGTCTCGATGGAAACAATACGAAAAGGAGAGAAAGAGAGAGAGAGGAAGGGAGGAAGGAGGGAAGAAAGGAGGGAGGGAGGGAGAGGAAGAGAGGGGAGACGGTATTAAAAAATCATTGAGCGCCCGCTGCGTCCCGTTCACTCGCTCCGAGATCTGAGAACATTTGAAGAAAAACTCCTCGGTGCCACTTAGAGAAGATTTAAACTTTCTTTTTTTTTTATATAATTTGAGTTTTTTTATTCGTTTAATTTCACAATCGCGCTGAAGGTTTTTCTTTAACGCTCCATTATTACACAAAATGGACTCTCGAGAGGAGGAGGGAAAGAGAGAAAGAGAAACGTTTAGACCTGAGCCGCTCTGAGATTCACTCGTCCAGACAGAAAACTAAAGTCTCACTCTGGAACATTTCCCCGTCTGCTCGTCTCCACGGAGCCGAGTTACAGTCTGTCGCATTCAGGCTTCAGGTGAACAAATCCCTTTAAACATGAACCGATACCGATACTTTACTGAAAAACCGATAGGAGTTTAATCGTTTCTGTTCTCGCCGATGCTGAGCGACATCACCTCATGACATCACAACGTGGAACAGAGTGTTTTCTCTCCAAATAAGAACAGTTAAACTAAACTTGAGAGTTTGATTTGAACAAACGCTCCTGTCTGTGCACCTGTCAGCTCACCTGTCTGTTCACCTGCTCCTGTCTGTGCACCTGTCTGTTCACCTGTCTGTTCACCTGTCTGTTCACCTGCTCGCACCTGTCTGTTCACCTGTCTGTCTCACCTGTCACCTGTCTACGCACCTGTCTACGCACCTGTCTGTTCACCTGCTCCTGTCTGTTCACCTGTCTGTTCACCTGTCACCTGTCTACACACCTGTCTACGCACCTGTCTGTTCACCTGCTCCTGTCTGTTCACCTGTCTGTTCACCTGTCTACGCACCTGTCTACGCACCTGTCTGTTCACCTGCTCCTGTCTGTGCACCTGTCTGTTCACCTGTCTGTTCACCTGTCTACACACCTGTCTACGCACCTGTCTGTTCACCTGCTCCTGTCTGTGCACCTGTCTGTGCACCTGTCTGTGCACCTGTCTGTACAGTGTGAGTTACAGTAAACTCCAGAGACTCACAGTTTAACACTTCAGAGCCCCACTCCTCTCAGCTGTCACTCACACGTGCACACTCACACACGTGCACACTCACACATGTGCACACTCACACACGTGCACACTCACACACGTGCACACTCACACGTGCACACTCACACGTGCACACACGTGCACACTCACACACGTGCACACTCACACACGTGCACACTCACACTCACACACTGCACACTCACACGTGCACACTCACACGTGCACACTCACACACGTGCACACTCACACACGTGCACACTCACACACACACTCACACTCACACGTGCACACTCTCACACGTGCACACTCACACGTGCACCAGCAGCAGTCCTGTGAGTGTGGCAGGTCAGGGAACATCATCACCATCATCATCATCATCACCGTCTTCATCATCATTATCATCATCATCATCACCACCATCATCATCATCATCATCATCATCATCACCATCATCATCATCATCATCATCATCACCATCATCACATCATCACCATCATCATCACCATCATCATCCATCATCATCACCATCATCACCATCATCATCCATCATCACCATCACCATCATCATCACCATCATCATCATCCATCATCATCACACCATCATCACCATCACACATCATCATCACCATTCATCATCACCATCATCACCATCATCACCATCATCACATCATCATCACATCACATCATCATCACCACCATCATCACCATCATCATCATCACCATCATCACCACCATCATCACCATCACCACATCATCATCATCACCATCATCATCACCATCACCATCATCACCATCATCATCCATCATCACATCATCATCACCATCATCACCATCCATCATCATCACCATCATCATCACCATCATCATCATCACCATCATCATCACCATCATCACCATCATCATCACCATCATCACCACCATCATCACCATCACCATCATCATCACCATCACCATCATCATCACCATCATCACCATCATCACCACCATCATCACCATCACCATCACCATCATCACATCATCACCATCATCATCACCATCACCACCATCATCACCATCACCATCATCATCACCATCATCACCACCATCATCACCATC